AATTCTAAATTATCTCTAAAATTGTTTTCCAGAAACCCTACGCCTCTACCCTGCCTTGTCGTTTTTGCAACGTGTCTGTATGGAAGACTATCATGTGCCAGACTCGGATATTGTTTTCGAAAAAGGTACTTCAGTTGCCATCCCTGTCAAAGCCATACACTATGATCCGGAGTTGTATGAAAATCCCACGGCATTTATACCAGAACGTTTCCAGCCTTCGGAGTTGCAACAACGTCATCCTCAATCATTTTTGGGCTTCGGTGATGGTCCCCGCAATTGTATTGGTTTACGCTTCGGCCGTATGCAGGCAAAGGTCGGGCTCATTGCTCTATTATCGAAGTATCGTTTTTCAGTATCATCCAAGACATTGGATAAAATGCACATCTCAGAACATAGTTTTGTAATGGTACCGGGCAAGGGGGTTTGGTTAAAAGTTGAGAAAATTTAAAATTAATTAATTAATTTAATAAATATTTTTAAGAAAGGATAAACAATAGATTTTTTATAAGCTAAATTTTGAAGAAATAAATATTCTTGGGTGATATTAATAGACGTGGATTTTTTTATACTCTTCACCACACTTTGGTACTGGGTATTATGTCTTTGTGCATGTGTTTGTAACAGACAAAAAGAAACGAGATAGACACATGGTTCCTTTTAAGAATATGCATAGAATAACTTTCTAAGTCGATTTATGCATGTCCGTCCGTCCGTCTGTCTATCCATGTTAAATTGTAAACAAAATACAGGTCGCATTTATAATCCGAATTGGATGAAATTTGGCATAGGTCACTTATTTGGCTCAAGGACGAACCCTATTGAAATTGCGAAAAATCGGTTCAGATTTAGATATAGCTCCTATATATATATATTCGTCCGATTTAATGTAAATGGTGCACCAAGGTCCCTATATATCTTTCGATTTGCACAAAATTTAGCACAGCGTAATGAATTAGGCCTAGAATTCTATGTGTGCTAAGTTTTCTGAAAATCGGTTCAGATTTAGATGTAGCTCCCATATATATTTTCGTCCGATTTAAGGTAAATGGTGCACCTAAGTCCCTATATGTCCTTCGATTTGCACGAAAGTTGGCACAGGGAAATGAATTAGGAATAGAATGATGTGTGTTAAGTTTCGTGAAAATCGGTTCAGATTTCGATAGAGTTGTCGTATATATTTTCGTGCAATTTAAAGTAAATCGTGTACCGTCCGACTTTACTACCTTCCTTATTGGTTTAAAAAATATTTCTTGATAGTACTAAAAAGCGCGGATTTCTTAAAAATATTTTTTTTTTTCAAAAAGGTGTAGATTTTGTTTTGATTTTTTTTTTTTTTTTTTGTTCTTAATAATATTTTTTATTATTATTTTTGTTATCTCAAACTATACATCGTGCTTTAATTATTTTATTTCCTTCACTTCAAAAATTAAGAGAGAGAACCACATCACACCACTATGTTAGTAAGTTCAAAGTCCACGAGCGAACATTACTCATAGCAATGTTAACTGCTATTATTAAGGTTTACACATGTGAGTGATAAGCTCATAGAAGATCCACACGCTCGCTTATTATCTCCCAAAAATTTTACCACCTAATGATTTAGTTATTTTCTACAAGTCATCCCATCATAGCATATTTTGTTATAAGTTATCTCTGGTTCAATTACGCTCAGGCAGATAGACGTGCGTAAACGTGACAACCTAATATGTTTCGAATGTTGTATAGAACCGGTTATTTTAATATTGCGGTACTAATGAAGTTCAAGTTATACGTCACCTAAAGAAATTAAGAGAGAACCACATCACGTCACTATGTTAGTAAGTTCAAAGTCCACGAGCGTGTTACTCACATAACTGGTAACTGGTCTTACATTTGTGAGTGGTAGCCCGTAGGAGATGCAGACGCTCACTCATTATTTCTCAAGCATTTTAACATGATTGATGATTTTTTGTTTTTTACTACGTCTGTTTGTGGTCTAAGGTTCAATTGCTATGAGACAGATAGACGTCCGTTGTATAGAACCGGTTATTTTAATATTTGGATATTAATAAAAGTTCAAATGGAAATGGTTTAACACTGTGTAAAGTATTGAAAAATATACACCTACTATTTTATTAAAAAAAAAAATATATATATATATTTTTAAAATCCACGCCTAGCGGATTTCATCATAAAAACATTTATAAACCAGTAACGAAAGTTAAAAAGTCGGACGGACCGTCTATATGACACCCTTCACCACACTGGGTACATACAAGAGACGCTAATATATACAATATCCTGTAAAATGGAATCGGGCGAAATTAAATGTGTGATTTACATAAATATTTGAACCTATTACAAAACCCTATAGACATACAATTCTGAAATCTATGAAAAATTCTATGTCAATCGGGGAGACTTGGATTTTTTGGTGTACAATTTGTATAAAACCTAGCAAAATAATGTATGCATATTTGGTGTCTGCAGCATAAAGCGCCATCCACAAATTTATCTCGTATATATGGAACAGACGTAGACTCCTCGGTGAACCATTTACGTAAAATTAGACGAAAATATAAATGGGAGATATATCTAAATCTGAACCGACTTTCCCAAAAATAACACGCATCATTCTAAACTTATTTCAGTACGTTATGAAGAATTTCGTGCCAATCGGAAAATTGATAGAGCTTTGGTGCATTATTTACATTAAATCGGCGAAAATATATACCTGAGCTATACTAAATCTAAACCGATTTTCACGAAACTTAGCATACATCGATATAGACTTAATTCAATATACTGTGCCAAACATTGAGGAAATCGAAAGAGATATAGGTACTTTGGTGGTCAATTCATGAAGCTATGCCAAATTTCATCAAAATCGGAATCACATAAAATCGAAACGCCAAACTTTGAGGAAATCGAAAGATATATAGGTACTATATCTAAAACTGAACCGATTTCCACGAAACTTAGCACCCGTAATTCTAGACTCAATTATGTACTTTATGCCAAGTTTCGTGTCAATCGATGGATAAATGGGGACTTTGGTGCATAATTTAGCTCAAATCGGACGAAACTATACATGGGAGCTATATCTATATCTGAACCGATTTTCACGAAACTTAATGCACACCATTCTAGACGCAATATAGTACGCTATGACAAATTTCGTGCACATCGAAGGACATATAGGGACTTAGGTGCACTACTTACCTAAAATCGGACAAAAATCTATTTGGGAGCTATATTTAAATCTGAATCGATTTTCATGAAATTATTTTCGTTCTAGACCTAATTCAGTGTGCTATGCCAAATTTCAAGCAAATCGAATGATATATAAGGACTTTGGTGCACCATTTACATAAAATCGGACGAAAATATAAATGGGAGCTATATCGAAATCTGAACCGACTTTCACGAAACTTAGCATACATCAACGTGGACCTAATTCAGTACTCTATGCCAAATTCGATGCAAATCGAACAATATATAGGGACATTGGTGCCCTATTTACCTTAAATCGGACGAATCTATATACGGGAGCTATATCTAAATCTGAACCGATTTTTCCCAATTTTAATAGGGTTCGTCCTTGGGCCAAATAATTGACCTGTGCCAAATTTCATCCAAATCGGATTATAAATACGACCTGTACTTTGTTCACAAAAATACAAGGATGGACGGACGGACAGACGGACATGCATAAATCGACTCAGAAAGTGATTCTATGCATATTGTCAAAGGAACCATGGGTCTATCTCGATTATTTTGTCTGTCGATGTGCACAAAGTCATAATACCCTTCACCACACTGTGATATAGGATATTATGACTTTCTGCATAAATATGTAACAGGCAAAAAGGGGACGATATAGACCCACGGTTCCTTTGACAATATACATAGAATCACTTTCTGAGTCGATTTATGCATGTCAGTCCGTCCGTCTGTTGATATTAAATTGTAAACAAAGTACAGGTCACATTTATAATCCGAATTGGATGAAACATTGGATGAAACATGGGCCAAGGACGAACCCTATTGAAATTGGTGAAAATCGGATTAGATTTAGATATAGCTCCCACATATATTTTCGTCCGATTTTATGTAAATGGTGCACCAAGGTCCCTATATATCTTCCGATTTGCACGAAATTTGTCATAGCGTACTGAATTAGGTCTAGAATGATGTGTGTTAAGTTTCGTGACAATCGGTTCATATTTAGATATAGCTCCCATATATAGTTTTGCCCGATTTTAGGTAACTGGTGCACCAAAGTCCCTGGGAATCTTTTCATTTGCAAGAATTTTGGCATAGTGTACTGAATTAAGTCTAGAATGTTGTGTGCAAAGTTTCGTGAAAATCGGTTCAGATTTAGATATAGCTCCCATATATATTTTCGTCCGATTTAAGGTAATTGGAGCACCAAAGACCTTATATATCTCTCGATTTGTAAGAAATTTAGCATAGCGTGCTGAATTGCGTCTATAAAAAAGTGTGCTAAGTTTCGTGAAAATCGGTTCAGATTTAGATATAGCTCCTATATATATTTTTGTCCGATTTTATGTTATTGGTGCACCAAAGTCCCTATATATCTTTCGAGTTGTACGAATTTTGGTATAGGGTACTGAATTAAGCTTAGAATAATTTTGCCGATTGACACAACGTACTGAAGTAATATAAATTAGGCTCTGGCAAGTTTCCCTGAAATCGGTTCAGATATAGATATATAACAAAAACGATACATACGTAGAATATAGCCAACGTGGTGAAGGATATTATATAATCGGCCCAGTCCGACTTTACTACTTTCCTCCATTTTTTGAGAAATTCCACAAGGCGTGTTGTTTTTTTTTAAATATTTTTTGATGAAATTAATAGTCGTGGATTTTTTAAAAATTTTTTTTTTTTTAAATCCGCAAGGCGAATATATTTAAGAAATAAAATTAAATAAATTTTGTTTTCCTAACTTATGTGTCTTTATTTACAAAGTAATGTTATTAAATTTAATTCGACTACAATTTATCCACCTTCAACCACACTCCCTTACCAGGTATCAACACAAAACTATAGTTCGAACATTCCAAATGTTGGGGAGTCTTATGGCAAACAGAGAATCGAAAATTCGATAATAAACTAATAAGGCCGACTTTGGCTTGCATACGACCAAACCGCAAGCCAATACAGTTGCGGGGGCCATCACCAAAACCCAAAAACGATTGAGGATGACGACTCTGTACTTCGTTATGTTCAAAACGTTCTGGTATAAATGCCGAAGGATTTTCATAAATCTCCGGATCATAGTGTATGGCTTGGACGGGTATGGCCACAGCGGTGCCCTTTTCCAAAACAATATCTGTATCGGGCACCTGATAATCTTCCATACAGACCCGCTGTAAAATTGCCAAGGCTGGATGGAGGCGTAGGGTTTCTAGAAGTGGAAATGACGTTTTTAGGATTGTTTTTTTTCCTTTTTGAAGAGTGTGGCTGTGTGAGATACTTACCAGATATCACCTGGTCCAAATAGGACATTTCCATCATGGCCTCATAGGTCAACTGATTATTGTGTTTCTTTAGCACCTCCACAATTTCTTGCCTTAGAATATCTTGTTTTTCGGGATTCTTGGCCAATTCATAGAGACCATAGCTCATGTTACTCGATGAGGTCTCAAACCCGGCCACAAAGAAGACAAACAACTGGGCTGCCACCAATTCCAGACTTAGCAAAGGTTGACCATTCTCATCCTTTTGATTTTTCAGCTCAATTAAAATATCAATAAAGTCATTGCGATGAATATTCCGCCGTTCCCGCTCCAGCACCGTATCATTGACAATTCTCAAAAAGAATCGCTCCAGAATGGGATTGAAACGTCGTATACCCACATATTTTAAATATTTCATATACATATTTTTCGCCAGCGACCATTTGATATTGGGTCGATCCGCCCCAAATGCCTTCTGGCCAATTTGCCGAAATTCCGCATTCGGATTGCGAATACTATTAGTTTTAATACCAAAAATTACACTGCCAATAACATCGGTGGTAAAGCGACCATTCCAGTCGTACATTTCCAAAATGCCATCGGATTTCTTTTGCAATTCCGACTGCAGGGTCTCGACATATTGCTGAGACACCTCCACCAGGGAGGGGAACATGAAACGCATTTTTCCCGATGTAAATGTGGGCGTCAGCTTCATTCTCAAGCCCTTCCATATGGTGCTGTCCGCATTGAAGAGGTGCTGATTTAAAATATCTTTGCTGTGAGGGTTGGTGAAACGATCCGTAAACGAATGGAAATCCTTGATCAGAACGTGTTTAACTAAATCCAAATCCAAGATCACCGCAAAGGGTCGGGTATAGATGTAGGTGCCGGCCAGGGGAGATTTTCCCTTAAACCTGTCATACACCTCCTGCCACAAATCGGCGTTATGTATGGAGGTTAGGCGGCGTATATTTCCCCATATTCCGTCACTTAATTGTGGTACTCGCTTCTGCTGCCAATAGGTGCTCTTAAATTTCAACAGGGCATACAGCGATGACACAACCGTACAAATTAGAATCAACCAAATATTCATGTTGTCCGATTTGGATTTTTTTGCTATTTTGCAATTTACCGTATCGATGATAGCAAATGCACGTATCGAAATGAACAGCGAAGCAATGAAACTATTTGTCGATATTTAAATCCAACCCTTGTACTGCTCACTCGGTATCATAAAGCGATGACAAGTAGTCTTGGTGCGGTAACTCAGACGAAAGGTAAACAAAATTTAAGTGCCCTGGCGTTAATGTAAAATAATTACATGTATAGGTTCCCAGTGTGGGTCTTAAAACAACTATCTCACGACATCTAGACAAATTACAAAGTTGATAAGACGATGTACAATGTCGGAGTATTGTGGAACACATACATATACAAATCGGCAGATTTTTCGCATACCCAAAGCACAATTGCTATGGTCGGGTAGTTCATGGGAAAGAAATATTTTATAAAATATAACCAGTAAGGAAAGTAGTAAAGTCGGACTGGGCCACTTTGGATATATTCTACATATGTATCCTAACAGACGACGCGTTTTTGTTATATATTTATATCTCAACCGATTTCAGGGAAACTTGTCAAAGATAAATTTATATTACATCAGTACGTTGTGTGAATCGGCCTAGCTATGGATCTTTTCACGAAGCTTAGCAACATCATTTTAGACTTAATTCAGTACCCTATACCAAAATTCGTGCAAATCGAAAGATATATAGGGGCTTTGGTGCACCAATTACCATAAAGCGGATGAAAATATATATGGGAGCTGTATGTAAATCTGAACCGATTTTCACGAAACTTTGCACACATCATTCTAGACCTTATTGATTACGCTGTGCCCAATTTCGTACAAATCGGAAGATATACAGAGACTTTGGTACACAATTTACCTTAAATCGGACGAAAATATATATGGGAGCTATATCTAAATCTGAACCGATTTTCTCGAAACTTTGCACACATCATTGTAGACTTAATTTAGTACGCTGTGACAAATTTCGTGCAAATCGAAGTATATATAGGGACTTTGGTACACAATTTACCTAAAATCGGACGAAGATATATATGGGAGCTATATCTAAATCGGAACCGATTTTCGCGAAACTTTGCACACATCGTTCTAGACCTTATTGATTACGCTGTGCCCAATTTCGTACAAATCGGAAGATATATAGAGACTTTGGTACACAATTTACCTTAAATCGGACGAAGATATATATGGGAGCTATATCTAAATCGGAACCGATTTTCGCGAAACTTTGCACACATCGTTCTAGACTTAATTTAGTACGCTGTGCCAAATTTCGTGCAAATCGAAGTATATATAGGGACTTTGGTACACAATTTACCTTAAATCGGACGAAGATATATATGGGAGCTATAACTAAATCGGGACCGATTTTCGCGAAACTTTGCACACATCATTCTAGACTTTATTGATTACCCTGTGCCAAATTTCGTGCAAATCGAAAGATATATAGGGACATTGGTACACAATTTACCTTAAATCGGACGAAGATATATATGGGACCTATACCTAAATCGGAACCGATTTTCGCGAAACTTTGCACACATCATTCTAGACCTTATTGATTACGCTGTGCCAAATTTCGTGCAAATCGAAGTATATATAGGGACTTTGGTACAGAATTTACCTTAAATCGGACGAAGATATATTTGGGAGCTATATCTAAATCTGAACAGATTTTCGCGAAACTTTGCACACATCAGTCTAGACTTAATTTAGTACGCTGTGCCAAATTTCGTGCAAATCGAAAGATATATAGGGACTCTGGTACACATTTTACCTTAAATCGGAAGAAGATATATATGGGAGCTATATCTAAATCTGAACCGATTTTCAAGAAACTTTGCACACATCATTCTAGACTTAATTTAGTACGCTGTGCCCAATTTCGTGCAAATCGAAGTATATATAGGGACTTTGGTACACAATTTACCTTAAATCGGACGAAAATATATATGGGAGCTATATCGAAATCTGAAACGATGTTTTCCCAATTTCAATAGGGTTCATCCTTGGGCCAAACAAATGCGCTGTGCCAAATTTCATTCAATTCGGATCATTCTAGACCTTATTGATTAAGCTGTGCCAAATTTCGTGCAAATCGAAAGATATATAGGGACTTTGGTGCACCATTTACCTTAAACCGGACGAAGATATATATGGGAGCTATATCTAAATCTGAACCAATTTTCGCGAAACTTTGCACACATCAGTCTAGACTTAAGTTAGTACGCTGTGCCCAATTTCGTACAAATCGGAAGATATATAGAGACTTTGGTACACAATTTACCTTAAATCGGACGAGGATATATATGGGAGCTATATCTAAATCGGAACCGATTTTCGCGAAACTTTGCACACATCGTTCCAGACTCAATTTAGTACGCTGTGCCAAATTTCGTGCAAATCGAAGTATATATAGGGACTTTGGTACACAATTTACCTTAAATCGGACGAAGATATATATGGGAGCTATATCTAAATCTGAACCAATTTTCGCGAAACTTTGCACACATCATTCTAGACCTTATTGATTACGCTGTGCCAAATTTCGTGCAAATCGAAGTATATATAGGGACTTTGGTACACAATTTACCTTAAATCGGACGAAGATATATTTGGGAGCTATATCTAAATCTGAACCAATTTTCGCGAAACTTTGCACACATCATTCTAGACCTTATTGATTACTCTGTGCCAAATTTCGTGCAAATCGAAAGATATATAGGGGCTTTGGTGCACCATTTACCTTAAATCGGACGAAAATATATATGGGAGCTATATCGAAATCTCAAACGACGTTTTCCCAATTTCAATAGGGTTCATCCTTGGGCCAAACATATGCGCTGTGCCAAATTTCATTCAATTCGGATCATAAATGCGACCTATACTTTGTTTACAATTTAACATGGACAGACGGACGGAGGGTGGGAGGGACGGAAATGCATAAATCGGCTCAGAAAGGGATTCTAAGCATATTCTCGAAAGGAACTATGGGTATATCTCGATTGTTTTTGGTTGTTACAAACATATACACAAAGACATAATACCCTGTACCACAGTGTGGTGAAGGGAATAAAAAATATTTTCCAAACCAGTGAACGGAGCAGTATAGCCGGACGGGGCCGACCATACGATACCCTACACAACTACCACGGAACTCTAATTTTCTGCGGATGTTTATTCCGAGTCTGGGTAATGTTTTGTGATATTTACCCCCTCTTACCCGATTAGAGGTCAACAGCACCTCTTCCTTACATTTTCGAATATTCAGTACAGCCGTTCTAATTACTTGTCCACATTCCCTTCACGATGGGTTGTGTTGTGACGTTCGGATTATATTCGACTCGAAACACACACACACACAAAATTAAGTTTTCGGTCCATTTCATGCCAAAAATTTAATCTGATCATCACCGAAAATTGTAGGCGTTGTCCTTGACCATAACTGGAACTTCATGGAAAATTTCAAAGTGATCAGGGCGACATTTCCGCCATATAATGTGGTATTGGGTTCTAAATAATATCTGAATATGTAAGCACCTATTAATATTTCAGTGTAACTCCCACATCTGGGTAGATACATCACTCACATTTGGTATCAATTTAAAGGCCAATCACTCCACTTGGATATACTATCAACTCCTCGGGTCTATATCCTTCAGGAGTAAATATATACGCCATAGAATACAAATTTTGTAAATGTTCAAAATTCAGCGTCCATTTGACCCGCTAAATATTGACCGATCTTTATCAAAACAGTCATGATTATTCTTTGGCCTCATCTACTTCTCCCATAATTACGGCCTCTGGAGCGTCCAGAAAAACCGACAAAAATTAAGTAGTTGGTCCATTTCATCCCCTAAATATTAAGCGATCTTTCCCAAAAATAATAGGGGTCTTAATTGGCCTGAACCCATCCTACATTCAAAATTTCGGGAATATTGGTCCATAACTGTGGCCTGTATCGTGTTTACAAATTGTAATGGACCGACGGACTGACGGACACACATATCTAGATCGACTCGGCTAGTCGAGATATGACGATCGGCATACTTAAAGGTGAGTCTAGGACCAATATTTCGTGCCGTTACAAACTCTTGGGGCTGCACAAAGCTGTAATACCATGATAACATAGTAGGTAGTGTAGGGTATAAAAATCAACGCCCATTAAACTACTTTTTTAAAAAAACTGAAATCATAACTTTTATTATTAAAATACAAAATACCTATTTCTATATTCCAAATTACTTAAAATTATCCCTCCAACTTCTCCACCCTCAACCATATATCATGGAGATTTTTCAAAGCGAAAGTATGCTTAGAATATTCAGCCCGTTCGATGGTACGATCACATAATGAAAATTTATAATTGGATAACATTGCCACCATCGCCGTGGTTACTTGTAACCTTCCCAGCCGTATACCAATACAATTACGTGGTCCATCACCAAAAGCCAAATACGATTGGGGATGTCGTTGTTTTACCTCAGCTGGATCGAAGCGTTCCGGACGAAATTCTTCTGGGTTGGGATAGATGTCTGGATCATAGTGTATACTACGTATGGGTATCAGAATGCGTGTACCCTTTTCCAATACCTGTTTTGTATTGGGTATTTTATAATCGACTGTGGTCAGACGTTCCAAATAGGAGAAGATCGGGTAGAGGCGATTTGTTTCTGGAATAGGAAAGAAGGTAAATTATTTGTTTTAAAAATGTATAGACCCTTGAAAAATAATATTTTAAAAAAGTCCACGACTTCTAGAGAACCTTGAAAAAATTAAAAAATTTAAAAACAAGCGAAACAAGTGAAAAAGCGTTAAGTTCGACCGGGCCGAACTTTGGATACCCTCCACCATAGATTTACTGACTATCGTGGAGGTTATAAAAATCGTTAAGATCGACCGTTCCTTGTATAGACCCTTTATTTGTATACCCTCCTCCATAGTCTGGAGGAGGTAAAATTCTAAGACGATCTAGCCATGTCCGTCCTGAGATGTCCTGTGCTGGTCCTGAGATGGGATGCTGAAATTTTGCGTAGGTTTGTCTTTTGTCTGCAGGCAGGTCAAGTTCGAAGATGAGATATTTCGGCCCACGTTTAGGCATAGCTCCCATATAACAGTACCTTCAAATTTTCGGTATTTTGGGGGTTCTTCAGCGCGTTTTTCTACCGAATAGGCTGAAATTTGGTACATTGAGTTAAAATTTGGTCCAATGAAACATGGGGTCTATGATCAATATTTAGAACCATAATCGGTTCGTAGAAATGTCGGTATAGGTACACTTTTTGGTATATTCCCTATATTTTTATACCCTTCACCACACTGTGGTACAGGGTATTATGTCTTTGTGCATTTGTTTGTAACAGGCAAAAGGAAACGAGATAGACCCATAGTTCCTTTTGATAATATGCATAGAATCACGTTCTGAGATGATTTATGCATGTCCGTCCATCTGTCCGTCTGTTGGTGTTAAATTGTAAACAAAGTACAGGTCGCATTTATAATCCGATTTGGATGAAATTTGGCACAGCTCATTTGTTTGGCACAAAGTCGAACCCTATTGAAATTGGAAAAATCGGTTCAGATTTAGATATAGCTACCATATATATTTTCGTCCGATTTAAAGTAAATGGTGCATCAAAGTCCCTATATATCATTCGATTTGCACGAAATTTGGCATAACATACTGAATTGAGCATAGAATGATATCTGCCAAGTTTCGAGAAAATCGGTCCAGATTTAAATATAGCTCCCATATATAGTTTAGTCCGATTTCATGTAAATGGTGCACCAAAGTCCCTATATATCTTTCGATTTGCACGAAATTTTGCATAACGTACTGAATTGAGCCTGGAGTGATGTATGCCAAGTTGGGTGAAAATCGGTCCAGATTTAGATATATCTCTCATATATAGTTTCGTCCGATTTAATGTAAATGGTGCACCGAAGTCCCCATATATCTTTCGATTTGCACGAAATTTGGCACGACGTACTGAATTGAGCCTGGAATGATGTATGCCAAGTTGCGTGAAAATCGGTCCAGATTTAGATATATCTCTCATATATAGTTTCGACCGATTTCATGTAAATGGTGCACCAAAGTCCCCATATTTCTTTCGATTTGCACGAAATTTGGCACGACGTACTGAATTGAGCCTAGAATGATATTTGCCATGTTTCGTGAAAATCGGTCCAGATTTAGATATTGCTCCCATATTAGTTTCCGAATTCATTTATTTTTAATTTATTTTTTAATCCACTCACCCGATATAATTTGATCCAAATAGGTCATTTTCATGCAGGCCTCATAGCTCAGCACGTTATTGTGCTCCTCCAGCACCGACTGTATCTCATGCCTTACATGATCCTGCAATTCCGGATGCCGGGCCAATTCCCACAACGAATTACAAATAGTATTCGCCGATGACTCATATCCCGCAGCAAAAAATAAAAATAGATTCGAAGCAATTTCATTATGTGTCAATATTGGATTACCATTTTCATCTTGAAGTTTCCGCAAATCCACCAACAAATCCAATAAGTCCTGACGCCGGATATTCATCTTTTCCCTCTCAATAAAATTATTTTTCAATAAATTCATATAGAATTGTTCGAGTTCCTTAGGGAAAAATGTCACATGTATCCCCATCGATTCGATGATGTGGACATAGGTCTCCACAAACAGCTTCCAGCGAATATTGAAATCTGTCGCTCCCGTTGTGACCGGGGCGATATTATGAAATTCACTGGGTTGAAATTTCAGGCTATGACTCTCACACCCCAAAATGCAGTTGGCAATGACATCGGTAGTGAAGCGTCCACTCAAATCGGTGATATTTAAAATATCCGATTTTTCCAAACATGTGGCAACACTGTCCTTCATTTGCATCGCTGCCGCATTTATGGTATTGTACATATATTTAATTTTTGCCGGTGTGAAAATGGTGGAAAATTTACCACGCAACGACCGCCATTTTTGACTTTCCCAAAAGAAGAGATTATCCGCCGTGAGGTCTTTATTATTTTGATAGGCAAAACGATCGGAGAATTCATTGAAATCCTTTACCAAGGCAGCCTTAATTAAATCCAAATCGAGGAGAACCGCCACAGGTTGTGTAAAAATATAGAATCCCGCCACACATTCCTTTCCCTTATAGCGTTGATATAATTCCGCCAAGATATCGGTGTGGTGCATGGTGTCCAGCTGTCTTAAATTACCCATCAGAGGATTGACTTGCCATGTTCGTATATCCTTTTGTTGCCAATAGTGGAATTTACGATAAAGAAGGTAGAATAGAACACTGAGTAGAAGTAGAACTCCATATAGCCAAACTGCCATGATTTTTCGGAATATGTTTTTTTTGCGCGATAACCGTTTGCCTTGGAAGTTTTCTAGTGACTATAAATTTTCGAAAAGAAATTTCAATATTTTATATGGCACGCAAATATACTAAGATATTTACTTTGTTGTTTCTGAAAAAAAAAATATTTCATTGCATTTTGATGTGTATGAAAAAAGGCAGGGGCGTAGTCAGCCTGGTACAAAAGCGGAATTGGATTTAATAAACAAAGAAATATTTTTTTAAAAATTAATAAACATATTTTTAAAAAATCCACGCCTATATTGACAACTCAAAAAAATATTTTTAAATATTATATTGGCAACCCAAAAAAATATTGGCAACTCAAATATGAAATATTTTCGTGAACCCATAACATTTTTACCAACGCCCCTGCCAGCACGTAGACCAGTAATTTGTCAAACTTGCCTAATAATCATCCCACAATCCATCCATTTCTAAAGTTAACGAACCTTTATCTCTGGCAAATTGAAAAAAAAAATGGTTGTAAAATAAAATATATACATATATATTAATTTTTTTGATGAACGTGTCCAGTTTATTAAACAAAATATATATATACATATTTAATTTGTCACAATTAACACGTCATAAATAATTTATTCCGACTGAAATTAATCTTATCTGACACATGAAACAATAATTTCTTTGGGATTCTTCAGCTATTAAAAACAGGTACAGCAGACACGAGCAGAATTCCGATCTAAAGATTTTGAATATGTTGAAAAATTATCTTTTTTTATACCCTTCACCATAGTTTGTAACTCATCGAAATAATCATTTCCGACCCTATAAAGTATATATATTCTTGATCAGCGTAAAAAAATCTATGACGATATAGCCATGTCCGTCTGTCTGTTGTAATCACTCTAGTGTCTAAACGAATTGAGATAGATCGCCAATTTTGCATAAAGTCGTCTTTTGTCTGTAGGCAGGTCAAGTGCGAAGATGGGCCTTATCGGTCCACGTTTAGGCATAGCTCACATATAAGGGTACCCCCCAATTTTCGGTATTTTGAGGTTCTTGACCGAAATCGCTGAAATTTGGTACATTGGGTTATTATCGGATACCAAATTTCCTTACTAAAAATTATAAATATAGGTCCACTTTTTCTGGTAGCCCCCATATGAGGGTACCTCCCAATTTCCAGTTTTTGGGGATTTTTTCACCGAATTGGCTGTAATTTAGTAATTTGAGTTCTTATTGGGTAGCAAATCTCTCCACTAAAAATTATAAATATAGGTCAATTTTTGATTTGTTCCGTGTGTTGCGGTTGGGTAGTCGTTGCGGGGAAAAGTCAATTTTTACCCTACAAAGAAAGATATTGTGATAAAAAAAACTCAAACATGACGATAATGAATGTTGGCAAAATGG